ATATATATATATATATATATATATATATATATATATATAAGGTGAGCTTTCAGTTTACTCCGCCAAATGAGCCTGAGTATTTGGTCATTAATTCAATATTATAAGGGAATAAGTCCTTACAAAACAACGAACATTATTAAGTTAAGAGGGTAGATGAGTCCTTAATAAACAACAACCATTCTTGCAAAAGATGTTTAGTGTGTTTCTTTAGTTGGCAAAACGGCTTCGTGGCCACTTGAATTTATAATTTTTCTTTTAACACTTTTACTTTATAAAAATAGAAGTAATAAACACCTCCTGCTAAGCGTGTTACTCAATCGCTGTGACATGTCTGACACATTATATCTTTATCTATTATTATTAATTAACATGTGTAATTTATGGGTCCGAATCAATTTTTACAACTTATTAAAATATTTAAAATCTTTTTCCTTTTTCTTCTTCGCAAGGGAGGCGACCGCCACCACAAGTTTAATCCACCATAGACACAACCATACTTCACCCTCTTCACCACCTTATATTTTCTTGTCTCCAAACACCACTGCCGAAATTAGTAAAATGTTTAGAACTAGCCGGAATTCCATTGTCAGCGAGCATTGGTTTGAAAGTAAAAAAAAAAACAAAAAAACAAATATTAAGCAAAATAACAACCCATTAAAGTTTTGACCATCAATAGGTTGAATGTCCGTATCAATACAGAAAGAATGACCTGAAAAGGTTAATTTTTAAATTTTTTTCTTTCTCTTCCTTTTCACCATAACTCATGCTCTTCCTTAACTTCACATAAAAGGAGATCCATCTTTTTATCTTCATTAATGGAGGAGAAAAGAGGGAGAATGGAAGGAAAGAAGAACATGTAAAAATCTTTTTCTTCTATTTTGTGTTTTCGTAAATTTTACTATTTTTAAAAAAATGCAATCAACATCATGGATGCGCCATATAAGCGTGACTTGCACATATTTTGTCCACATCAGATATTCTTCAGCCACACAAGCATAATCAATGGTCAAAGGTGTTTATTAATATATACTTATTCTGTCACGTAGAAGTATTAGAATGAAAAAAATTATAAGTTTATATACCGGGATGACAAACTAGTGCAAGTTTAAGTGGGCACAAAGCCGTTTTGCCATATATATATATATATATATATATATATATATATATATATATATATATATAATAATATAATATATATATATAATATATATATATATATTATGTATTATATATATAGTGTATCTTTCATTCTTTCTTAAAGCGTAGCTGAAAAGACTATATCTAACCTACACACATGTTGTGTCTCATGATAAAAGAAACCACTTTTGACCTAAAAAAAAAGTTGGGCGAAAGAAGCAGCTTGAAATGGTAGCTGCTTAGACATTTTAACATGTGTTTTTTATGGCAAATTGAACTTATTGACGCAGGCATAAGTTGGGCAATGCATCGTCATTTATCATACTTTTTTTTTTATTTACAAAAGAGCTCCAATTCAAAGAACTGTTCTAATACTTTAGCTACTTTGAGTCTAAGGCCGCACGGATTTATTTTTTTGGGTTGGGCCACCTTGAGTCCTAAAAGGGGCGTACAATGTGAACTTAACTCATGCCTATATAGCTCTTCACTTTCTTCTCACATTTCGATGTGGAATTCGTCTAAGGTGACACCTGTTAGTCTTGCTTGACCCACCCTCATCAGCTCGCCTCTATCATGGGCATCACAATTATGCTTACTTATCCTACTACATTTAGGGTTATTTTCTTTTAACAGTGAATGAGTTGTTATTTGCTTGTGGTTGTGGAAACTGATACTCGTTATCAACAAAAATTGAGTTTCTCGATCCTTTAATGACAAAGTAGTGTAAAGGAGAACTTATTGGATTATATTTTTTGTTAATAAATATATGTAAAATTTTATTTATTTGCTCTCCTGATATGGTGCACAATTTGAGTGTTTTTTAGGAAATCCTACCGTAGAAAGCAACCACAGAAAAAGAAAAAGAAAAGAGAGAAAAAGAAAAGCAGTCTTAGGAAAGTCTGGTACCTAAATATAATCAAAGTAATTGTGCGCTGATGTGACTTAAAATGACTAATGTGGTGGCGGCATTTTAGGAGTATTGTTAAAAATTAATGTCAAACATCAAAGGAATACTTTAATTAGTCGTTAAGTAGAACAATCCAAAAACTAGTGAAAAGAAAAAGGGTGGGGAAAAAAAGATCTTGAAAGCAGCCGCATGGTCGGTATTTGGATTGGCTTATAAAAAGTATAGCTTTTAAGCTAAAAGCCAAAGTCATAAGTTGATAATACTCAATTTTTGGCTTTTGGCTTATTTTTTGTACTTTTTATGCCTAAACGTAAAGCTTTTAAACACTTTTTATCATTGTCAAATACCACACAAACTAAAAAAGTGCTTAAAAGCCAATAAACACTTAAAATAAGCCAATCCAAACACTCAAGTAAGTTAATGATAATTGATAAAAGCATTTAAGCGAATATAATTATAGTGTTTCTGTAGATGATAAAACCTGTTGAGAGTAATGAGACTTAAAGAAGAAACACACTCTGTATTATTTATGAGCGAGTTAGTTTTTTAAGTAATTATTAGTTAAGTAGTTAATTAGTTGGGCAGAATAGCCTCATAGACATTTGTACTTGTTTGGTTTTAGCATCCCGGTTCTTTTACTTCACAAAATTTCATCCAAACACTTATACTTGTTCAAAAGTAATATTTTAAACCCCTCCGACTGTTGACCATGTCTATGTGCTTGACAGCTGAGTTGGACAAAATACATGTATTTCATGCGTCGAAGGAGCGTGAAGGTATTCCCCCAAATCTGAAGACATCCGGCGATGGCTCTCTTCTTCTTCTTCTTCTTCTTCTTCTTCTTCTTCTTCTTCTTCTTCTTCTTCTTCTTCTTCTTATTATTATTATTATTATTATTATTATTATTATTATTCTTCTCCATTCTGATTTTTTTTGTTTATATGTATACATTAAAAAAGGGGAAAAGGACAGAGTTTTGGCTGGAAATCGTTTGATGCCATCTGGGTTGAGATTGTTTGCGATTTGTTGTTAATGTTGCCATAGCTTCGTTTTTTTTTAAGTTACCATCTCGATTTGTGTTTAATATGTTTAAAACATTATGTTGTCTCCACTTTAAGCTTGCCGGAGCTTATCGCGGGTGAGCTATTCTTGTGGGCTCACTATTTCGCCATCGATGGCGTTAAACTATTTCGTGGTTGCTCTCCCAATTGACGAGGTACAATACAATATAAGAGTCATTGTCGGCTAAAATTCAGGCCAAAGTACCGGATCTAAAAACCTATATGATAGTAAAAACATAAAATAGAAGACAATGGGCTAAGGATAAGAGGAAACGGGAAAAGTATCGATCGGAATAGATGATTTTTATGTTTGAATTTTATTTTTATTTTTATTTTTGATTTTAATTATTTTTAGTCTACCGTGTGACATGGCATCTACACATTGTTATTTTTTGGCGTGGCAGCCAACGTGGAGGAGATTGTATTACACACACTAACAGCCTCCTGTCATAAGCATTTATTATACACGGTTTGAAGGTGTGTAAGTGTTCAATTGACAAATTGTTAAGTTTAAGGACCGACATGACAAAATTGCACTAGTATAGGTGCCATTTAGGCTATTCTGCCACTAGTTGGCGACAGCTAAGCATAAAGTGTATACATAGTAGTCACGTGTATCTCATTTTTGCTTTGAACTTCAATGGAATAGTTCCAGGCAAAGACTTCATCTTCTCTTCTCTCCCTCTGCATGTCGTATTTCTCATCTTGCTCCTAATTCTTCAAAACCCACTCCCAAGTACTTAATAAAAACATTAGTGGTGATACATTTGCTCGTAATATACAGTATGTCGCAGAATTTTCTTTATCTTTATCGTTTCAGATAGGCAAAATTCAGGATCCCCGTAAACTTGGTAACTTTTATTTAGTTCACCTTTCACCTAATAGAGGGCATTTAAGCTAACATAAAGATGAAAAATAAACTCAATAAAAATCATCAAGTTTAGGAGGGACACGACCTATCCGTCTTTTAAATAATATATCTTTATTTATAACTTAACTCCAATAGGAGGGCATTAAAAAACATATATATACTTGGCGTTTTAGGTAAAAGTTGTTCGTTAATATTTCAAGAGATATATTATAATAGAGTCTTCTTTCCATTTTTATTGAAATAATTATTTTAAGAGGACGCAAATTCCTTTTTTTTTAAAAGAATTGTAACGTGAATCAAAAGTACATATAAAAACATGTGATTTTAAATATTTCACGAAATTCTTTTTGATGTTATTAAATGTAACATGAAAGCTTTAGGTGAAAAATTAGTCATACAAATTTAATGATAGAGTACTAGTGTTAGGTGACATTCTACACCTAAATGACGCACGTTGAATCATATAGTAATTGTTTGTAAATTTGGCAGAATTTGACGTTATTGTAAAAACATGATGGTGACATGATTAATGATTAAACGGCTGAGATTAATTGAAAGAATGGGGTAATACCAAATATGTGTGTGCGCACATGTACAAACGAAAAGTTGCCCGTGCAGATATTCACTTTTAGATATTTCTGTCTAACCACATGGTTTCTCAAAGGGTATTTGCGTAACTTCACAAAACATTTAACGCCGTCAGAACCGTCATTTCATTTCAGTGCTGGCATCTGACAAAGCAAACTGAAACTGTCAAATCACTGACGTCGACGTTTGTCTCTTAAATCGAAAAAATACCTAAAATACTCAGCAGTTGCCACGTGTCCGTCCTTTAAATCTGTCCTGATTCGGCCCAAGCCCTCGATCTCCTTCTTTTGATTCTGCCTCAGTATATTGACTGACGTGGCATATCTCATCCTACGTGGAGACTATGGGGCCTACATTTTGTCCACGTCATCCGCTTCAATTCGTCCCAACATCCAAGTTTCTTATTATTACCTCATAATTAACTTTCCGTGGATATAGTAAAGTGTTTCTTCGTACAACCAAAATCTCCCTTTGAGAAAAACAGTTGGAAATCCCTTTTGGTTTTCACTCGATAAAGCAAATCTAAAGTCATTTCTATATCTGTTCCTTAATTTTCTGTAAAATTCATTATGATATAATTACTAATTTTCTCTCCAATTCAATTTTCATGACTCAGTTGCTCTAATTTTTGCTGGGTTTAACGGAGTTTCGATTGCAAAATCAATCTCTGTAACTGCTTTGTCGATGACTCCTGAAGGTGTGTCTCTAATAATTATCATCAAATTCAAGTATATATTGTAGTTAACGTCCTCTTTGTTTTCTGCTGAACCTTTTCACTTTAATTTGTCATTTTTTTCTCTGGCTTTTGAATAATCATTGATATTATGAAGGAAATAAGGGTTTTGTCTATATATTTTTTTTGGTATGTGTCTTTCTGTTATGCAATTGTATCATATGCTTAGTATTATTTTCTGTGCTGGTTAGTACTAGGGTTTGGTGTGTAATCATCAAGTAGTATTTTAATATTGTTGATTTTGTTATTCAATTGATCGTATGGTGGTGTCCAGGTCAGCTTGTATGCACCCTGTCTATTCCATCGAGTACGTGCTACCTCCCACCGGCAGAGTTACCTACTATGGCTTAGGCTGATGAGAAGAAATTTACCTTGTGTTTTTACCTCGATTATTCGATTAATCGTCTAACATTTCTAGTGTGGAATAGGTTTGAGAGGGTTTGTGTTATGAAGAATTTGGGTTCTTGATGAAGAAGCAATGCGCAATTTGTTTTAGCTGACAAGGATTTATGAGAGATTGTGCCGGTACCACATCTTCCTTAGCATCAGTATTTTTGGATCTGGTTCACAGGGAGTGTTTCAATGACAATAGTTGGTGATGAAGAAAGAGAAATGCTAGATGAGGACAAGGTTATTGGAGCTGGGAATTCACGTGAGGGGCTAAATGTAGTTCAGGATAATGAGATCAACATTAATACAACCAATAGTGATAGAATAGATGTGGGAGGGAACACATTGCAAGCCCAAGGTGGTTTGAAATTGCAACAACAGCAACAGAGTCAAGGGTCGGCAGTCTGTTGGGAACAATTTCTTCATGTCACCTCCATTAAAGTGCTGCTGGTGGAGAATGATGATTCTACACGACATGTCGTCTCTGCTTTACTTCGAAATTGCAATTATGAAGGTTAGTTCTTTGTTAAAAAGTATTGTCAAGTTTGAGTTTTAGCTTTATGCAATATTAGCAAATTGTTAACATTTGAGTTGATTTGTTAAAATCCTGGCTTGCTCTTGTATTTGCATAGCTTTCCTTTTATCATTTCAACTATATCTTGCAATAATCAATTACGACCGGCTAAAAGCTGAGCAAGCTTGTACATCTGAGTTTGTTTTAATTTCTGGTTTTGAGTATTTGCGGAGCAATCGGATCTTACCTATAATATTGGGTACCTAAACAAGGATATTGAGGTGTCATTTACAGTATATTTGTTTGCATGCTTTATCACTAGATGCGAAATATACTCTCATTTGAGTTGCATAATGGGTTGGCATTGTCTGTCAGCCTGATGGAGATCAGAGTAGTCAAAAGCGAAAAACAGAGGGAAGTGGCGAATCTTCTGGGGCTTTAATTGCAACGAGGAATTAAAGTACTGCTTTAATGAAGAAAAGCACTAATGAAGAAAAAATAAAAAACATGTGTAATACAACATAACTATTTTAATAAAGGAATTGAAATAACTATAATTTAGTGGAATATATGGAGTAAAAATTATATCAATCACATTGAAAATCATCTAAAATTCCTGATATAAATGAAAAGATGGGGTTCATGTTTTTAGGAGCTAGTTTTTTCTTTCTAAAATTTTAATTTCTTATTGCTAACAACTAAAATTTCATTTGTAATGTTTTTTAACAATTAATGTATTAGACGGGATTGCAGTGCCTAAATGCAAACAATTAAGATATCTAGGCTCGTTGTTTCAAGAGAAGTGAATGATGGATGAAGATGTTACACGTAGAATCAACATCAGATGGTTGAAATGGAAAAATGCTACCAAGGTGTTATGCGATAGAAGTAGGGGCGGATTTAGGGGGGCGCAAGGGTGTTCACTGAACACCCTTCGCCGAAAAATTACACTGTATATATAAGGCAAAATCTGTTTTTTACATATATATATATATATATTAAGTTTTGAACACCCTTAACACAATCCAAAAGTGTAGTTTAGTGGTCAAGGGGGTTCAAAATTTACATAAGGTCATGGGTTCAATTCCCACTAGCTACAAAAAAATTTTTTGAACCCCCTTCGTGAAGATCCTGGCTCCGCCACTGGATAGAAGGATGCCTACCAAAATGAAAGGTAAGTTTTATAAAACAATTATAAGACAAGCAATGTTATATGGGAGTGAATTTTGGGCCGCTAAAGTCTAATACATCCGCCTCAGAGATGTGAATGCTAAGATGGATGTGTAGTCATATAAGACTAGACAAGATTAGAAATGACCACATTCACAAGATGGTTCAAGTAGCACACATTGAGGATGAAATGATAAAAGGTCTCTTAGATGGTTTGGTCATGTCCCGGGTCAACCCTCAGATGCACCGTCCCGTGGATGTGAAACCATGGTGAGTGAAGGTGTTAAAAAAGACGAGGTAGACCTAAATCACTTGAAAGGAAGTTGTATTGGAGGACCTACAATTTCTTGAGATCCATGCAAACTTGGTGAAGGCACGATGGAAGAAAAAAATCTATATAGGCGATACCTATTAGTTGAAAACATGTTTTGGTCATGTTAGCACTTCTACTTTACTAACTATGCTTTTCTACGAGTTGTTTAGCATTTTAGAAATTTGTACATCGATGGGAAATATAAAGAACTTCTAGTACTTTTTATTTTTATAAGAATGTGCCACCTAGAATTAAATGCAAGTTCTACAGAGTGGTGGTTAGATTGATTATGTTCTACGGGGTGGAGTGTTGGCCAGTCAAGAACTTTCATGTCCAGAAAATGAAAGTAGCAGAAGTGAGGATGCTGAGATGGATGTGTGGGCATACTAAGAGGGATAAGGTCAGGAACAAAGATATTCGGGATAAGGTGGGGGAGGTAACTGTGGAGATTAAGATGCGAGAATTGAGGCTGAGATGATTCGGGCATGTGATAAGGAGAGGCATTGATGCTCCAGTGAGGAGGTGTGAGAGGTTGAATATGGTGGGTCTAAGGAGAGGTAGAGGAAGACCGAAGAAGTATTGGGGAGAGGTGATTAGACATGACATGACACTTTTTCAGCTTACTAAGGACAAGACCATTGATAGGAAGTTGTGGAGGTCAAGAATTAGAGAGCCCGTTTGGATTGGCTCGTTTTAAGTGCTTTTAAGCCAAAATAACTTTTAACCATTTTGTAGTGTTTGGATAAAGTAAAAAAGTGCTTTTAAGCACTTGTTTTTAAGCTAAAATGACAAAAACAAGCCAAAAGCAAAAAGTTAGAATTCCTAACTTATGGCTTAAAAGCTATTTTGGCTTAAAAGTCACTTAAAACAAGCTCATCCAAACAGGCTCATAGTAGAAGGTTGGTAGGCAGTAGAGCTTTCTTCCTGTCCTTATCAGTAGTTTTAGTATTACTCTTATTTTGTCGTATTCTTGGATGCCTATCACTATCAGATGTTGCTTCTGCTTTGATTTTGTCACTGATTTGCTGTTGTTGTTGCTTTTCCATGACTCTTTCATTACTATATCTCTGTTGCTTTAATGCTGCGACTATGTTCGCCTGAGTCGGGGTCTATCGGAAACAACCTCTCTATCTGCATAAGGTAGAGGTAAGGCTGCGTACACACTACCCTTTCCAGACATTACTTATGGGATTACATTGGATTTGTTGTTGTTGTTGTTGGTAGGAAATATAAAGAGCTTCTAGTACTTTTTATTTTTATTATATTTTTTATTTTTGTTTTGTACAATATTGGCCAGAGATGAGTTCATATGGTGTAACATGGTCTGTGAAGATTCATATACCCGACCCTAACTTGTGTGAGATTGAGGCGTAGTATTTGTTGTTGTAATGACCTCTTAAAGACAGCCCCGAGGGTTATGAGGCGCTCGCTTTAACACCTTCGTGCCTATACTAAGCCAGAGAAAGCAACAACCTAGCTTGAACTGAGTTTCAAGTGTTAAGTGCACCTCAAATGCCTCTAACAACACCGATGGAGATGCCTAATAGATGAGCTAGTGGGACGTGTTATTGGATTCAATTGTTGCTTGAGCTGAGGGTTTCACATACTGAGTAAGACATGACATATTCGTCTTCTTAAACAATGATTTATCTGATTCCTGAAATGTGAGTAAACCATCTTTTACTAACATTGTTTTATTAATAAAATATATTAATCCTTCTTTTTATAGCTGAGAAATTCCCGAGGGCCAATGCCATAAATATAATAATCCTATCAGCACTAAGATTTCTGTTTTACATTTGTATTTCATTTCCGGCCCTTATGTGCATCTTATGCGTGGCAGCTTAGTGCATCGGGCTACCCTTATGTGCATCTTATGATAATCTGATATCAAAAATAAATATGCTTAAATAATTTAAATTGGAGTCTCGCTAACAACTTGAGCTTGAGTCTAAGTGTGAGCATGATTCATATTTCAAGACAATTTCAAGTTTGATGTGGTTATGTTAATCATTATTGCTGGCTCAAGTGTTCGATTCTTGTCTTCTTTAGAACTTTTAAGAGAAGACATGATCCAATCGGAACTTGACACATGTAGATACAAAGGAAGAGAGAGCGGCCGCTTATTGGCAGGGTCATTATGTACAAGGTTCTTGAAAAGGGACGACAAAGTTTTCCATATAGGCAGTGCGGATAGCAAAAGTACCACGGACAATTATTTGCATGGATGATGGCAAGCGTGTAATATTAACGACAGAAATTAGAGAAGAAAGCAAAGTACGGGTTAATTGGTGCTTCATGTGCAAGAATTCGGGAGAAATGTGAAATTTATTAGTGCATTGCAAGGTAGCCAATCGGATGCGGTGGATAATCCTAAATATGTTTGGCGTACAATGGATAGTGAAGGACATCACACATTGCTGGATATTCAGGAGGAGAAGAAGGAGATGGAAGACTTGGAATGTCGCTCCTTTGGCATTTATATGGGTCCTTTGGAGGAGAATAATACATACTCCCTCCGTTCCATTTTATGTGAACCTGTTTGACTGGTCACGGAGTTTAAGAAAAAATGAAGACTTCTGGAATTTGTGGTCCTAAACAAGTCAAAAAGGGGCCCAGAGTATTTGTGTGGTTATAAAAGCTTCTCATTAAGGGTAGAATTGTAAGTTTAAGCTAAAATGTTTCCAAATTTAGAAAGGGCTCATTCTTTTTGGAACGGACCAAAAAGGAAATAGGTTCACATAAACTGGAACGGAGGGAGACTCACGAGGTGTTTGTTGGTATAGATGATTGGATGTCTTTTGTAGATAACCATATTTTGATGTAGGTTTTCTAATCTCACCTATCAGATTCCGTTGTGGGAAGACACACTTCTTTTTGTAGATTCGCCAATGATATACTTGATAATATCATGAGAATTAAATATCAATTTTTGACCGCTAAAAAGTGTGTGTGTTCTTGGTTAATAAAAATACATGTTTACTATAAGCAGGACAATGGCTTTCAAAGAGGAGTCCAGTAGCGAATGAAATGAATAATTGTGGTTCGGCAAGGATCTTATCCTTCTACTTCGGAATGATTCAAAGAGAAAGATCTCAAATACTTGTATACTTATTGCATGTGGGGTTTTCCCCCCTCAGAACATCAATAAAATATTGCTTTATAAAAGAATGTCTGTATTGTATGGCGCTTTACGCTTGTCTCAGATGCCGCTAACCACGTGCTATATCATGTAAGTAGAGTTACTTGAAGGGGAGCCAACTGCAACGGAGAGCTGCTGACATCTTTCTACTGATCTAGCACTTAGTCCCATTCCTTAGGTTAATTTGGCAGTAAATTAATATATAAATAGGTCGTGGTCATCTAATTTGTATCTAAATTTGTGAATCTTGTGGAAGAAACTATTGTTGGTTTTTTAAAAGATGGGGCAGCAAAAAGATTAAAGTATTGATTGAAAAAGTCTCTCAATAATTTTATTAAGCATACCAAGGCTTTAAATAGCCAATTAGGAACATAATCTGCATAAGAGGAATTTAAAAATCCCAAAATATCTCAACAAACCTTAAAAATCTAACCGAAATTTAAATTCAAAAAAGTAGATTTATCATAAAACTAAGTAGCTGATTATGCTAAAAAAGTTACTGCAGTAATTGAAAGCAACAAAATTTCAATACTCCTCCTTTGCTTTAGTTGCTGCAATTAAAAAAGTTGCTCCTCCTCAATTCTTGCTTCGGTTGTTTGTCCTTGAGGAGTGTTTTGAGCATCGCTGATATTGCACACTTTTGTAGTGCAGTTCTTTTTTTTTATTTCTTCTTTCTTTTTTGTCTTTTGGTTTTGTGCATGAAGAACACCCTTAGTGACCTTGTCTTATCTAAAATCTCTTTTGAAAGTATTTGATTCTGGACAATGATAGGATTTTCAGGGATTGCTGGTAAGGATTGTTCTTCCTTTACAACATTCAACAAATCATAGGTTTTAAGATATGATTTTATTTTCACTGAGCAAATTTGATAGTAATCGCCAGCGAAAGTTTGTGGGGCATTCAGAGAGAGATTGCTGCTTGCCATGTTTGAAAATGGGTTTAAAAATTGATATTGGTTAAAAATGATTTGAAAACGGTTCTTTGGAAGAACTCACAATCCCGTAAGACCAATGAAGCTCTTGATATCACTGTTGGTTTTTTAAAAGATGGAGCAGCAAAAAGATTAAAAATATTGATTGAAAAAGTCTCTCAATAATTTTATTAAGCATACCAAGGCTTTAAATAGCCAATTAGGAACATAATCTGCAGAAAAATCTGCATAAGAGGAATTTAAAAAGCCCAAAATATCTCAACAAACCTAAAAAATCTAACCGAAATTTAAATTCAAAAAAGTAGATTTTTCATAAAACTAAGTAACTTATTATGCTAAAAAAGTTACTCCAGTAACTGAAAGCAACAAAATTTCAACAACTATAAAGTGGCAGCAGAAATCTGTCATGGTGTTCAAGTTTCAAGTTAATATGAAGTTTCAAGTTTCATTTTGTGTGATATTTGGTCAGAGGAACCTAAGTGGTTCTCTATGCTTTTCCCTTTTTATTACACTTCCAATTCATGACCAGTATCTGTTGTATTTGTTGTAAATATCTTTGGTGTGGTTGCTCTCTTACCACTTTTGTATCTTTATTATCATCTCATAAACCTTTGCTGTTTGCAGTTATAGAAGCAGCCAATGGATTGCAAGCTTGGAAGATACTGGAAAACCTGACCTATCATATTGATCTAGTGTTAACAGAGGTTGTAATGCCTTGTTTGTCAGGCTTAGGTCTTCTATGCAAAATCATGAGCCACTACGCACGCAAGACTATTCCCGTGATCAGTAAGTAACCTTGCTAGTTTGGCTAATTAGTCTATTGTAAAACTCTTACTACACTATGTTTAATTCTGAAATGATACTATTAACACCTGATGAGTGCTATGTGCAGTGATGTCATCTCACGATTCAATGGGTTTAGTCTTCAAGTGTTTGTCAAAAGGTGCAGTTGACTTCCTGGTAAAACCTATACGGAAGAATGAGCTTAAGAACCTGTGGCAGCATGTGTGGAGAAGATGCCACAGTGTGAGACACCATTACTCTCAGGATCCTTTTTCTTCTAAGCTTCTTGGTGTAAAATGAATGGCTGGTGCACTGATGTCCATGAACATACCTAAATTATCAGTTATTGTTAGTCATGGAGCTTAGTTTCTGCTAATTTGTTCAATGGGCTGTTTTTCTAGTTATAGGCTGTTTCTTTAGTTGTGTGTAATTTGCCATTTAGCTAGCCTTCCCAGTGTTTTTTTGTACTACAGTGATTAGATCATTTTCATTTTCTCAGTCTAGTGGAAGTGGGAGCGAAAGTGGTACTCAAACCCAAAAATCTATAAAATCAAAAAGCAGTGAGAAGTCTGAAAACAACAGTGGTAGCAATGATGGGGAAGATAATGGGAGCGATGACCAAGATGTTGGAAGCGGCAGTGATGATGGAAGTGGCACACAGGTACTGACATATGGTTGCCTTCAATAAAAATTAAAGGACATTGTGCAAAATCTGCCTTTTAGCTTATTTTTCATTTATTCATATGCAGAAAATAACAAATGATAGCAACAGCCTCGAAAATGGGCTAGGACTCCTCTTTCGTAGTTATTTGAAGCATTAGATAATTGAGGTGATTTCCTCTTTTTTTTTTCTTTTCGAAATGTTCTACTGATTAGTACATGTAGACGAGAGTCTGAGACAGTATATTCTCACATTTAAAACACTAAATTCTGCAGCAAATAAACGAGTTAGAAATGTAAGACTTCATTTGAGTTAGAGTGCATTAGTAGTCCATTGTGACTTAGATAATTTTAGATGTCCCAGCTATTGAAAGCAATGGTTATATAAGTTTCTAACTGAAAGGAAAGAAGTAATAACTCCAAAATTTAATGTGTTTTTCCTTTCGTCACATTATCCTTACGATTCAACACAATAGTTCTATAATGATGTCCCCGTTATGCATTAAAATTCCCATGCTTAATGACTAATAGAAGTACAGAATCATGTAAATAATATTTCTTTGAGTCTGAAAATTTTATTTTGCAGAGTTCCTGGACAAAGCAAGCTGTTGAAGTTGATAGCTCTCTGGCAGTGCCTCCACGGAATCTGTTACCTGAGTGTTCAGACAGCACTTGTGCACAGGTTCTTCATTCAAATGCAAAAACCGCTTCTAACAGGAATGCACACATAAACACCAAAAGAAAATGCCAAGAAGCTGAAGAAAAACCTGGTAATGAATGTCACTCATCTTTTTCTCCTCTTTGGTTCTAGCTTATCTTAGTTGACTGAAAATGTATCTATCATGTGTTTCATTGAAGATTGCATTGCAAAACGAAAATCCTCCCTCGTAGGCATACCTAGAAATCAGAAGTCACAATCTGAAAATGCAATCCAGATTCCATTCAAACTTGTTGGTGCGAAACAGAAGAGTCTGCTGGAAATAGATTCCAATGCAAGCAGTTTTAAGATAGATAAACACCGGGCAAATCTAGATGGTAATCGTCCATCCACTGAATATCATGATGTGACTGCTGAGACGTCTAATCCTCGGAGTGACAGCAGAGAGTTGAACAAAGCTGTATTAGAAATCAATAATGCATCCATTAATGAATCTAAACAGCCACTTTTTGAGCTAAGTTTGAAAAGGCTAAGAGGACCAAAAGAACCAGGAAAAACTGCTCAAGATGATCGTAATGTTTTGAGAAGATCAGATCTTTCAGCTTTCTCAAGGTTTGGAGACAATAGTTACTAGTTTATGCTTTCTAAACTATTTTATCAGAGCTACTGTTGATTTCCTTTGTTGGATGGGGAACTTTCAGCAATTTATGTTTTGCTCTGTGGGTGGACCATTTTGCAGGTATAATTCGTCCTCAAACCCTACGAGGACTCCTCATGGGATCACCCTAAGTAGTTCTTTAATTGATAATAGCCAAGAAGTTGCCAAGAAAGAGTCGGTATGTGATATTCCAACTCAGACAAATGAGAAATTACATCCAACCTCAAATGGAACTGGCAATAACATAGATATGGGGTCCACCACTAATAAACTTCCTAAGGAGCTATTATCTTCTAGAGATCAGTCAGAAGCAACATCGACAATTAACAATTTGCAACCATCGTCAGCTTTCAAGCCTGTAAAAATTGACTTTGGAATTTCTCCTCAGCAAGGGCAACAAGTTAAGCCTTGTAACATGCAAGCCACAACCAGTCTTGCTCCACAAGGCTCTCACACTGACAGCCTAATTCAGCAACCTCATCAGCACCACCGATATCATCATGTCAACGACCTGGATCAGCATTGCACTTCCAACCATGTTGATTGCTCATTGAAAAAACTGGCTGTGGGTGGACCAAATTGTGCTTCGTCCAATATTCTAGCTAGGCCTCATGAAGGGAACCCTGAATATCAGAGTTTGAACAGAAGTGCTTCTGGAAGTAACCGTGGAAGCAATGCGCAAGATGGAAGCTGCACGGCTATAAATGCTGGACGCAGAAATGGGGAAAGTGATAATGGGTTAGCTGGCAAAAATGGAAGTGGTGATGCCAGTGGCAGTGGTTGTGGCAGTACGATAGATCCTTCTAAACTTGCGAGAGCAGCAGCCTTGACCAAATTTCATCATCAGAAGAAAGAAAGATGCTTTAAAAAAAAGGTACATTGGAACATAGGATTTGTAGCTTATCTATCATAATCTTGTTTTCATCAGTGATTTATCCTATTCCTACTTTCTTCTGAATCTTTGTGCTGAAGTACTTTTGGTATCAGCATATTATACTGAGAGCCTCCTAATTCACTTATATAAGACACTTAAATTTCAGTAGTCAAGTTCATTTCTTATGCTTTAGAGTTGAAGACTACTCTAGTCCATTCTCTAGCACACAAACACAGTGTGACATCATAGTATAATTCTGCAATTTTATCATCATCTTATGACCATGCCCACCCTTAAATTAATTTGTTGGTAATTGATATTTGTTTTAGTTTTCTAACTAGTATGAATAACAACAACAACAAACCCAGTAAAATCCCACAAGTGGGGCGTGAGGAGGGTAGTGTGTACGCAGACCTTACCCCTACTGTGTGAAGGTAGAAAGGCTGTTTCCGGTAGACCCTCGAAAACAGCCCAGTCTAACTAGTATTACTCTCTCCATATAAAATTAGGTGTCACAAGTAGATTGACATGAAAAAAAAATTAGGCAAGAATTGAAAATTTTATTTATCTTGATGGAAGTAGATATACACTTAAACTTTTGGTAAGTTTAAACTTTTTGTGATGGTTAAAGTGAAACTTCTATTTATAAATCCAGCATGAAGATTGAAGAGAAGCAGATCAGTCAGTGTACTATTGTCATACCTGGTCAATGTGTTTATTTGATGTTATATGTAGATGACATAACCATTGTAGGCGATGACTATGAGAAAATCCAGTTAAAAAGGATATCAAACCAGTCATTTCCAAACCAAGATTAGGAAATCTAAAGTACTTTCCTGGTCTTGAGGTCACCTAATGGAGAGATGATACTGTTATTTCACAAAGGAAGCATGTATTAGATATTTTTAAGGAATATGATGCAGTGCAACCTATTGAGTCCCATTGATCCGGATAGTGAACTGCTACCAGATCAGGCGAAGCCATGTCCAAATCCTGAAAGGCACCGAAGGCTAGTCAGGAAATTAAACGATCTCACTATTATCTGAATAAACATTTCTTTTTCTGTGGGTGTAGTGAGTCAGTTCAGGCAGTTTTGATGTACTAGTCATTAGGATGTTGTGTGAATCTCAAGATACATGAAGACAGCACTAGGTCAAGGATGGTTGTATGAAGACAATGGATACTGGATATATTGATGCAGACTAGGCTGGTTCACCAATAAATCATCTATATATTGTGTTTTTGCCAGTGTTTTGAATAGCGTGAGGCGAATGAGGGCCCACTTCACTGAGGCGAGAGGCGAGAAGCGAAGCGCTCGCCTTTTTTATGTGAAGCGACAATTTATATAAAAAAAATAAAATATTAAATTTGCGCGCACACAAACACACACACACACACACATATATATATATATATATATATAAACTCAGGTTTGAAGAAGCTCTCTGCCTCTGCCCGTGAAAGAATTGAAAAACAAAAGAAAAAAAAAAGAGAAGAAAAAGGAATGAAGGAAGAAAGAAAGAAAAAGCTCTCTGTTGCTCGATCAAAACAACAGAGCAAAAAAGAAAAAGAAGAAGAGAAGAAGAAGAAGAAGAAGAAAAAGGAAGAAAGAAAGAAAGGAGAAAGAAGAAAGAAGAAGAAAGAAAGAAAAAAAAGGCAGAAACTCGTGGAAAAGGAAAAGAAGAAAGAAGAAAGAAGAAAGAAGAAAGAAGAAAGAAGAAAGAGAAAGAAGAATAGCTGATGTGACTGGGTCGACTTGAAGGAGAAAGAAGAAGAAGTCGTTGAAGCGCTAAATTTTTTCTTTTAATCGCTGATCTGTTGCCTTTTTCTTTTCTTTTTTCCAAAAAGCGACGCTACAGGGCGCCTCTCGCTACACAGCACCTCTCGCTACATAGGCAGAGGCGCTCGCCTTTTTGAAATCGCCACGCAACAGAGGCAAATAGTGCTGGAGGCTCGCATCGCATCGCTAGGCGAGCGCTATTTACAACACTGGTTTTTGCTGGTGGTAATCTTGTAGTATGGAAAAGTGAGAAACAGAATGTTTTGCTCAATCTAGTATAGAAGCTTAATATCGAGCCATGGCAACAAGGGGAAGCTGAATATCAAGCCATGGCAACAACTTTTGTAACCCCCTATGGGTTAAACGAGTACTCAGAGAATTGGCACATTAAATGAAATGTTTTGTGATAATCAAGCAACACCACATATAGGCAGTTGGCTGGTACATTGAAGTACCTTATTGTAACTTTGATTGATATTGCCTTTCTAGTGGCTGTTGTAAGTCAGTTTATGTACTCTCCATGTGATTCATTGGGATGCAAGTGTATATATCCTTTGTATAAAATCAAATCCAAAGAGAGAATTAATTTCTAGGATCAAGGACATTAATAGATTGAGCAAGATCGCCTTCTAATATACGTTCTACCTTTGGATGTTTTAATTGTAGGCATAGAAGAAGAAGACAAGGCATGGGAGCTACGCTGGTAGCTCCGTTGGCTCTTATATGGGTCGTATGGAGAGAGAGAAATAGGAGAGCTTTTGAGGGAATTTGTACTATTGAGGAATAGCCTCTTTTGTTTGATGGCTTTTTGGTGCACCCTTGAGATTCCTTCTTGTATAGATGATTGGGTGTCTTTCGTAGAGAATCATGTTTTGTTGTAGATTCTCTACTTTTGGTATACCTCTTGTATACAGGAGTTTTCTCCCATCCTTAATATCATTTACTTTATCCAAAAAAAAAAATTGTAGGTTATTTGGTGTCTTGTAAGATCAAAAAACAAAACATGGTTACTAGATCTAGGACAGAAACAGACTTTCGGACAAAGGTTATTGCAACTTGCAAACTCATTTGGATCAAATAGTTCTTCATTTGGTATTGAATCTAGTGTTTCATGAGATAACTAAACACATGGAGATCGATGTCACTTTGTCAGAGCAAAGATACACTTAAGAGAAATTGTTATGGAATTCATCAAGTCAAATGATCAGGTTGAAAATAGATTCACCTAGTCTCTCACTGGTCCTTGAATTAGTTATATTTGTAACAAACTCGGTACATACAACTTGTATGTACCAAAAATGTAGACATTGATAATCCACATTTGTTATCCCTGGTAGGGGAGAACTATTACAAATAGAAAATATAAGACCCGGTGACCTAGAATTTGGAAGAACCAAATTTTCGCACAATACTTTGAGTACCTTGAAAACTTTGGGACCAACTACTATCCGTTTTCTTTTATAAGTAGGACCAACTTCTAACCATGACGTGACCTTTAGAAACTTACTTTTTTCTTATCAGATACTTTTTTTTAGAATTACCTGATCACAGTAAGGCCATTCACGAGCTTTTATTCATGGCATGAGACTGCTCATAGACCATGGTTCTAGCCTCTAATTGCAATAGCTTGAAATATAGCAGATGCTCCTAGAGAGTAAACTGTAAAGTATGATATAGAAATTAAGCATACAATTTCTCTTAGAGGATATACTTGATCTAAAAGCAACTACAACCAATATTACACTTGGGCTCCTCTAGAAGAAAAGTTGACATCACATATATTATCTGACTCCTATAGTTCTTATTGTTGTATTATTAATATTGTAGTAATTTCCGCTATCATAGTACATCAAAAGTTACCTGCCATCATCTTATAGTTTTAGATGTGGAATTTCGAATTGCCTTTTGCTATGCGCTCAGTTGCAGTACTGCAGTTCCTTGAGGCTGTGTCTCTACAGCTTGCTACCAAATAGGCAAATATGTTATGCTATATGGAACTAATGCTTAAAAGATATCAAACTTCTTGGTTCTTTAGTAATATGCTGTTTAGTCAACCATGGAGCAAACAGGAGTTTGCAGGATTTGTTTTCCATACTTCTATTTTGTAATAGGTAAAAGGAAAAGGAGTAACCCAACAAGATCAAAGATGATTAAAGTCCAGCTCATGCATAATACTAGATCCAAGTCTCTACATAGTTGGGTTATAGCACTAAAAAGGAGCTCTACATTTGCTGCTTTCACAAACTGTATAAAACCATTGGCTTATAGTAATATTCTAGAAATAGAGGCTGCAAACAAAACTTAAGTTGACTTACATTTATTCAAGTCCATTAATTTCTGAAAAGTTTGTATTCATGGTGGATAGATAAAAAACCAATCCTTAAATGATTGCAGAGGCTATATCACGTAAAAGGTATGTATCGTCAGTGTTTCTTCCTCATTTGCTCTAATATTACTTCAAAATTTACTTATGTATGTGCCTCTTTGCTGAATAAATGGCTCTGTGTATTCCCCTGGTTCCAATTTGCTTGGCACTCTTAATTGACATCTTTCTACATTTAGAAGCTGACAATTTAACTTTTCCATTCTGCATTGACGTGACTTGTTGAAGGTCCCACGGCATACAAAAACAAGTTGTTTGCTACAAGAGTACTTTTCATATTTTATGTATATCTAGCTTACATGTCCAAAATACAAAGACACATAAGAAGAAGTAAAAGAAGGAAATGGAAGTTGATTATGTGATTGGCTGAGGGATAGGCTTCTTGGAACTTTGACGTTCAAGTGACAGTTAAGGTTAGCAATGTAGTATTGGATCTCTCAGATAAGTTTTCGGTGGCTTTCGGATCCTCAAAAGATTCCAAAAGAAAGAGATGCCAATTTGGAGGAAATTTTAAAATAGTTTTGGATGGATGAAAATTAATTATGCATGTTGATTCTATTGAGTATGAAATGAGCATGTATATATGTCAAATGGCACTTCTATCTTCTTTTATTCAAGTTATAGAACCGATAATTAACATTGTGGATCAACTGTTACTTTTGCAGGGAAATGGACTGTAATTTTTAAAATCAGGTAGAAGAACTGATTTTTCTGCTTCCAAGTCAAGTGATCCTAACTAGTTGAAGCTGGTCTGCTAGTTGATTGTGAGGAACACACATATTTCCAGTTTCAGTAATCTTCCTGCTGTATCTTGCATGCCGACATTCAGAAACTGATAGGAGTGCCTTATATGCGTAGGGAGTTGAATTTTAGAAGGAATAAGGTTGACCTCAAAAGAGAACATGAGCTGTAGACCTAAAAGCTATCTGGCAAATTGCATGCAACAATCATGGAGTTCTTCATTTTCTGTTATTTTCCTGAAGTCAAATGGCTAAACCATACATTTGTGTCAGGATAGTGTAGTCGCAGTAATCGTTTCTTCCTTGAATTGTATCTTTTGATTCGGTACCAACAGAAAGAGGATAACAGAACAGTGGCGACTGTATCGAGGATATTTTCTGTGGGAGACAGAGCAAAACAACCCAAGTATACTGCAATCGATGATTTAGAGTTGTACTTCCTGATCCTTCATGCATTAATTTTTATTGATCATAATAGTTCTTGTACTGTGAGGATCTGGTCATGTAAAACATATAGTCCGATTTAACCATTTATTCCTGGCAGATATTCACTGTGTCAGTAATCGTGACTTGTTATAGGGGGGGTTCTGCTGTTGCCTTCTATAATAACAACTTGTCGCTCTTCATTTGTGTTTAATGAACAAAATATATATGGTTTGATTCTGTTGTTGATCGATTTGTGTGTATGACATTCTGACCCTCGGACTCGGTTCTGTTTAGCCTTTTGGATTCCAGCAACAATTGGATCTCTTCTGCGAATTGGTATGAACATTCTTTGCCATGAAATGTTTTAGCTAGCGTTTGGCCATAGATTCCCAAATTTGTTTTGAAAAATCTGATTTGGGTGAAGTTTGGTTTGAAGATGAAAATGTGTTTGGACCAAAGTTTTCAAAACATATTTCACTTTTTTAAAAAAAAAAACATGAAACGTGACTTATACCCACAAGTTCTAACAACTATCACAAATACACATCAGTACCTTTATTAATGACATTCATTATATTATCGCAAATCATAGTCCTGAACATAAATAAATTTGGTACAAAATTATTATTTCTATCATGAACTACATAATACACTATCAGATGACAAAGCAGCATTGTTACAAAATAATAAATGGTGGGCTCTTTTATAGAATACAAAAGTTTGGGGCAATTTTTTAAAAATATAATAGTGATATTTTGGACCAAAACCAACTCTTGGGATTTGGTTTTTAGGAATTTACTAAAATATAGATAAAATCTATGACCAAACATGTATTTATCAAAAAAAAAATCAAATATATTTTGACAAAATATATGGCGAAACGGTCCTTAGTATTACAATTTACAAATCAGCAATATACTCCCGAAGAGGGAAAAGAAGTTGAGCATGTGGGGTCCATCTGACCTCATGCACAAAACAACGTAAATGATTTTGGTTTTCCTCATACTTATCTTTTTCTCATCTTTTGTTGCTCGGTGTTAACCAAGAACGTAATCACCAATTTGATTAGCTTATATATTCTGTTTGTTTCGTCTCCTTTTGTTTCGCTAAAAATTGAAAATAAAAAATAAAATCATCTTATCGCAAATTCATTGTATCCTTTGTACTAGGGTGTACTTGGATGGGGTTGGTTCGATTTTTATTAAAACCAAACCAAACCAGACCATTTATATCGATTTGGATTGGTTCGATTTTATCGGATTTTTTGAACTTTTCGGACTTTTTTATTACATGAAAAATATGTCAATCTTACTTTGTTAAATTTTAATTAACGTCACACGCAAGAGAAAGCTAATTTAGGGTGTCTTCTCTCTCATGCTCTCAGCGCACGTTAGCTAACGTATGCTGGCGCGACTGCCATGGGGAGAGGCCGAAGTCGCAGACGAGGAAGGCCAAAGAAATCACCTATTATTGCTTTCGGCAGCTCAGTAAGTACTAGTTCTCAACCTAGGAAGATAATTCCATCTCAATCAATAGAGACGATACCACCGGAGCAACAAAAGACGGAAATGATTACGAGTGAAGAAAGATCATTTTCAATTGCTACTGAGCAGGAAATTGAACCTTAGTGCAGCGGTAATAACAGGACAAGCTGATAATGTTGTTGCAACTAAATTTGGGGAGAAAGCCAATGGAACAGTAACCATGGTTAACCCTAAGCAGAGTATTGACGATAGTGACTTAGCAAAGGAGGGGGAAAATACACAGGAGCTGAACACAGATAGAAATGAGCCCGCAGATCCTAAAATTGGTACTGAGAATCCTAAAGAGCAGACTAATGTTACAGATAAAATTGAGCCCATTATAGCAAACATTGCTACTGAGAAACTTCAGGAACAGACTAACCAAACAGTACTCCACACGCATAACAGGGAAGGGCCAAAAGGTTGGGTGAATTTGTTTCAGCAGAATCGAGCAGCTACGCATGGCATGACACTTCGATACATACCTCCTCAAATTGTTGATGGGCAACCAGTAGTGCAACTAGAGCTTCAAGATGTGGTGGAAGAAGAGGAGAAATAGAGTGCGGCTATGATTGCTTATATAATTGGGGATAATCCTAGTTATAATGTAATGAGGAGATATATTACACAACACTGGCTAGATATTATTGAGCCGGATTTGTTCCTACATGATGAGGGTTATTATGTAATTAAGTTTCAATCGTTGGTGGATATGCACAAAGTTTTCTATGATGGACCACACACCATCAACAATAGACCAATAATCCTAAAGCCATGGACAACTAACTTAGATTTGAGCCAGGAATTCCTAGCTGAGATTCCCCTATGGGTTATATTCCCTAAACTACCTATGAGTTGTTAGGGTAGTTAATCACTAAGCAAGATTGCCGGTGCAATTGGTAAATATTTGTTTGCAGATGAATGCACTACCAAGCAAACAAGAATTTCTTATGCAAGGATGATGATAGAAGTCAATATAACAAAGAACCTGCCTACAGAGACAGCTTTTATGGACCCTAGATGCAGAAAATTCCAACAACTATTAGTGTATGAGTGGAAGCCTAACTATTGTGACAAGTGCCAGATGATTGGTCACACATGCCCTGCTCAATAAGGACCTAGAATGCAACAGAATGAACATCGAAGAGAACCAAGGAAAGTCACATATGAATGGAGATATAAAGAGCGAGTCGTGGTAGAAAATACCAACAAAATGAAGCAGCCACAAGCTACCACGGCACAAGAACAAGAGCAGGCCAGCTTATCAGTGATGACACGGGAAGCTAACTTGCCACTGGTGACACAAGAGACTAGACAGACTCATGAGGCTATTGGACATGGGGCTACAAGAACAAGATCAGCAGGTAAAGGCAAAGAGGTAGAAAGCCCAATGATGAACTTGGAAAATTTTCCTTTGCTATCACCTCCTATACGTAGGAATAGCCTCCATAAAGGTTCAATGGTTACCGGCGTGAGCTCCTCCCTACCTTATGACAGAGGTGGGGACACTCACAAGACTCTATGGCTTGGCTAATTTGGAATGTCATGGCATCAATAAGTGGTACAAGCAGACTGAAGAACTATTTAAAATCCAAAAACATAAAGCTTGCAAGTATCATTAAAACTAGAGTTAAGGAACATAATATGAAGAAAGTGATCTCCCACATTACCCCTTACTAGGAAGTTTTTCATAATTACACCACTGCAACTAATGGGAAAATTTGGCTAATATGGGATCCTAACTATTATAAGGTTACTCTAATTAGAGCAGACACACAAATTGTTCATAATCTAGTCAAAGGGATCTAGGCGATCGGGAATGTTTATTTACAGTGGTTTATGGATACAATAATATTGAGCAGAGGAAACATTTATGGGATAACCTGATTGAGATTGGACAGGGGATCAACAAACCATGGATCCTCGGGGAAGATTTCAACTCTGTACTGCAGCTTCAAGACAGGTTGAATGAAAATCCAGTAAGCCTTGCTGAGGTTCAAGACTTCACAAAATGTGTTCAAGACTTAGATATCAATGAGTTGGCATGGGAAGGGGTATACTACACTTGGTGTAACAAATAAGCTGGAGTGGACAGGATTTGGAGCTGAATTGATAGAATGTTTGGCAACTATGAATGAATGATGCATTGGGGACACATCACTACTATTTATGATGTCCCTTTCATATCTGATCATGCTCCCGTGGGCTTGCATTTCACAGTAAACCAGGGTAGCAGGAGAATACCTTTTAAGTTTTTCAATGTGTAGGCTGAACATGAAGCCTTCCTAAATATTGTTCAGCAAGTTTGGAATCAGAAAATTTATAAGTGGAAAATACAGGACATCTAGGTGAAATTGAAGAAACTCATACCATTGCTTAGGAAACTTAACGTTGAGGAGTTTAAATTTATCAGACAGAAGATTGATGCAGCTAGGAATGAGCTTATCATAGTCCAAAAGAACATTAGTTCTAGTTGTACTGATGAGCTGAGTAAGAAGAAGAAGAACCTTATCCAAAGCCTTAAAAAATGGGATATTCTAGAAGAATGAGCACTAAGACAAAAAGCTAGAGCAAAATGGTTAAAATTAGGTGACTCTAATACAAGGTATTTTACAACTGTGATAAAGGAAAGGACTCATAGGAAGCAGATCCAAGAACTTCATTCACTTGCAGGTTGCAGACTAACTGATCCGGAAGCTATAAAGGTAGAGATTGTTGATTGCTACAAATCATTAATGGGGACTGCTGCTCATTCACTGCCTGCAATAGACAAGTTGGTGATGCAAAAGGCCCAATCCATTCACAACAACAGAGAATGTTTCTTTGTAAGGATGTTACTGAAGGACTACGCTCCATTGGAGATGATAAAGCACCAGGAGTAGATGACTATAATGCATGTTTTTTCAAGAAGGCATGACCCGTTATCAAAGAGGATATCATAGAAGTTGTGTTTGATTTC